AGTAATTTACAAAGGACATCAAGTTGAATGCGGATTTTTTTTTTGAGAAGTATGATGAGGGTGGTTTTGAAGGAAAGCGAGGCAAACGTTTTCTGTTACTTTAACATAACCTAGAAAATTGGGAATGGTTAATCTGAAAGAGAACTTCAAATTGTATAGGACAAAGGGTTGCAGGTTTTAACGAGTAAAGCAGCAACAGCTTGCATTGCTAACGAAATAAAATTTTAGACAGCATTTCCAAGTGGAGCTCTGGAAATTGAGAATGCATAAGAGGCTAATGTTGGAGGGTAATCAAAAGTTATTTGCATACTGTAGGGTCTGGAATATGAAGTGAACATCAGTGATATTATTTGGCTTTATAATTTTCTTCTGATTTTGAACAGTTTTGCTCTTTACTTTTTAAGAAGGGTCATCTTTTGGGTTGCTACTGGGGAAACCATAATACGAGGAAAGAGCGACTCAGTTTGTCTGAAACAGGGCTTTTTAACCTTTTCCTCCATGATGTAATTTCCCTGACCCTGCTGTCATTTTGAATGTGGAGAATAAAGGGTGTCTTACAATATGGAAAATATTTGGTTCCTATTTGCCTCTACAGATATTGTCCCTGTATTGTATCTCAGCCAGCTGCTCCTTTTAGCCTCTGTAGGTATTACAAACTATATGTTTATTTTCCACTTTTAAAACTTGGCGATGAGTGCAGCACTTCTTCACATTTAGAACCTTGAATTCAGTATTTGCATTATCCTTTAATCACTAAGACTTGCGTGACTTAGATTTACATTATTGCAGTAACTAAAATCTCCTTGCCAATATTTATGTTACAATTGTAACTCCTACCAGCCTGTTGTTGGAGCAGCTGGTGACCTGATCTCATTGGTGTTTTGAATTCAACTCTTGCCACCAGCTGTCTAATCAGCAGGAAAAAAAAATCTTTGGAACTGATGTTGAGCAAGTATGAATTGATGAAAACATTTGTTACCAGTTTTGAACAGTTAATTGTTTTTGCTTGAAAAATGACTCCATATTAGATCGAGATGTTGTTACTGCTAAGGAATAGAACTGTTTTTTTTTCCACCAACTGTTGAGCAGTTGGCCTCGTGCACAAGATCTCCATTATTGTGCACAGTCCAAGCAGTATATCACGCCCTGAAGCGTTGCACAGCATTTTCACTGATTTCTTCAGCCACAGGAACCACACTGGCTGAACCTTCTCTACAGTGCCTTAGTAATCATATAGAATATTACTGGTCAGTGCTGAATTCACCTGAAATTTAATGCTGACATCACGTCAACGAGGAACTAGCTTGAGCCTGCTTTTAACTTTTAAAAGTAAATGAACCCAAGATATAGGGCATGCTTTAATATTGTCAACAAGATTATTTCACCAATGCACCAATTGCTCCTGCCTTGTACCTAATGAATGCAAAACTAGCAGTATTAAGCTGAATAATGATTTAAACTAAGTACTTAAAAAATACTTTAATCAGACAGCTTGTGTCAGTGGTAATTCTATAGGCAAAATATTTGTGACTTTCTCATAGTGCGGTTCATTCACTATTTTATCATTTTTCTACTTGGCAGTAAATAAGCAAACAATGTTGCTCCCAATCTGTTTAATACACCATAGCTCACATTTTGACCTGGGTTTAGCATATGAAGGCAAAGCTCTTGCATTCACAGTCATTACTCTTCTGTAAAGAACAGCAACCTTTGGAGTCTGCACATGTGTAATCCAGGATAGAAATACAGAAGTTGCTGAAATTCTTTCCAGAGTTTGTGCTGCTCGTGTTCTTACCTCTTGCCCACCCACAGTTTCAAATCAAATTGCAAGCACTGAATTGACTAGATCTTTCTCTTGTTTGTTACATGTTCATTTCACTGGAACAATATCTGATAAAAGTTGTAACCTGCTTAATTTTAAATGTCAAATTTCTTCATTGTTCTAAAATATCACAAATTTTTCTGTATGATATTTCAGTCTCTGTCTGGACCTACGCATGTCAGTCCCATCCATGCATTTTGTACTTTCTAAAATTTGATCATAAATGAAGAATGATCAGATTATTTCTTGGTTTGTTGCTAATGAGAATATTTCAAAATTTAAATGCTTTCTCTGCTGGATGATTTAATATTTTGTTTCAGTTTTCACAGGGGCTTAATGGCCTACATCCTCGGATCTTACAGGAAGTGACAGCAGAGATAGTAGGTCCATTGGTTAGAACATTCTAAAGTTCCCTGAATGCAGGAAAGGTTTCAGTAGATTGGAAAAATGTTAATATAACACCCTATTCAAAAAGGGTGGAGGCAGAAAATAGAAAATTAAAGACCAGTTAGTTTAACATGTTTATTTGAGAAATTGTTAGAATCCATCATTAAGGAAGTAATAACAGGACATTTGGTAAGTCAAAACACAATCCATCAATCAGCATAGTTTTATGAAGGGTAAATCATGTTTGACTAATTTGCAAGAGCTCTTTGATGATTTAACAAGCAGTGTGGATAATTGGGATCCTGTAGATGTAATATATCTGGACTTCCAGAAGGCAATTGATAAGGGGCTGCACAAAAGGTTAATACACAAAGTAAGATCACATGGGTGTTAGGGGTAATTTATTAACTTGTATAAAAGATTGGTTAACCAACAGAACGCAGAGACTTGGGATAAATGTGTTTTCTTTTCTGGTTTGCAAGATGTAACTAGTGGGGTCCTACAGGATTCGGTCCTTGAGCCCCAGCCATTTGCTATCTGTATTCATAACTTGGAGGCAGGGATATAAAGTGTGAGGTGATTCATTTTGGAAAGTCGAATTTGAATTCAGAATACAGGGTTAATGGCAGGATTCTCGGCAGTGTGGAAGAACAGAGGGATCTTGGGGTCCATGCCCATAGATCCCTCAAAGTTGCGACCCAAGTTGATAGGGTTGTAAAGAAGGCATATGGTTTGTTGGCTTTCATTGGCAGGGAAATTGAGTTTAAGAGCCGTGAGGTTATGCTGCAGCTCTATTAAAACTCTGGTTAGACCACACTTGGAATATTGTGTTCAGTTCTGGTCACCTCATTTTAGGAAGGATGTGGAAGCTTTAGAGAGTGTGCAGAGGACATTTACCAGGATGCTGCCTGGACTGGAGGACAGGTCTCATGAGGAAAGGTTGAGGGAGCTAGAGCTTTATTCATTGGAGCGAAGAAGGAAGAGAGCTGACTTGATAGAGGTTTACAAGATGATGAGAGGCATAGATAGAGTGGATAGTCAGACTTTTTCCCAGGGTGGAAATGACTATTACGAGGGGACATAATTTTAAGGTGATTGCAGGATGGTATAGGGGAGGTGTCAGAGGTCGGCTCTTCACACAGAGTGGTGGGTGTGTAGAATGCGCTGCTGGCAGTGGTAGTGGAGTCAGATACTTCAGAGACTTTTAGACGACTCTTGGATAGGCGCATGGAGGATAGTAAAATGTAGGGTATGCAGGGTAGATTGACCTTAATAGGATAATAGGTCAGCACAACATTGTGGGCGGAAGGGCCTGTACTGTGCTGTACTGTTCTATGTGCTAAAGTACTAAAGCCAAATTTGCAGATGACATTAAAATAGGTGGGAAGCAAGTTAGAATGAAAAAGTCAGAAATTTAAAAGTCAATATGGATAGCTTAGGTGAATTTGCCAAAATTTGGCAGATGACATTTAACACGAGTAAGTGTGAGATTATCCGTTTTGGTTGTAGGACTCGAAAAGCAGCTTATTATTTAAGTAGAGAGAAACTTCACAGTGCTTTGCAGTGGGCTTCTTGTGCATGAATTGCAAAAAAGGTATGCAGGTACAGCAGGTAATAAGGCAAATGGAATTTTAGCATTTCTTGCTAAAGGAATAAAGTATAAAAGTAAGGAAGTGTTGCTCCACTGTACAAGGCATTACTGAGAACACATGTGGAGCATTGTGCACAATTTTGTTCCCCTTCCTTTAGAGAGAAGTAATTGTATTGGAGATTCACTAGATTTATTCCAGCAAAGAGGGGTTTGTCTTATGAATGGTGTTTGAGCAGTTTAGGCCTAAATTTTTTGGAATGGAGAAGAATGATAGGAGATTTAATTGAGGCATGTAAATTGGTGAAAGTGATTGACAAAGTAGACATTTCTACATTTGGCAATCTAGAATGAAAGATCACAGTTTTAGGATTAGGAGTAGTAAATTTGAACGATGAGAAATTACTTCTGTCATGGGGTCATGAATCTGGCATTCACTACAGCCAAGTATGGTGAATGCTAAGTCATTGAGTATATTTGAGGAGGAAATACCCATATTTTTAATTAATAATGGGTTGAACAGTTATGGAGAGCGGGCAGGGAAGTGGAGTTGAGACTGAACTGGGATCAGCCATCATCATATGAAATGGCAGAGCTGGCTCAAGGGCCTGAATTGCTTACTCCTGCCCCTTGTAATGTCCTTACAATGTGACTTTTATGAACATCTGACAATCTCTTTAACTTTAACAGATTCAAACTAGTGGGAAAGACAAATCCATGCCTAAGTAGTTGTTAGGTACTTTTGAACTACTGTGAGGTTAGCACTGAATGCCGTTACTTCACTGCTAGCTGAAGAATCCAGGCTTTTGTTAACAAGTTTGATATGCTAATATCATATGTTTGCTGGCAAAGATTGTGTTTCACATTCAAGAATAAAATTTAGCTCAATGTAGAGTTCCAAAATATGTTCAAGTCCCTTTTTGTTTATGTTGTAACTTGCTTCAACTTTTTGCCAAAAGATCAAAAAGAACATGCCAAAGTATTGGAGATTATTTGTTTTTTGCCCCCAAGCTAGTTATAATAGGAAACTTTTGGTCTCTGCACTGCAATATTTTTAATAAAGGTCAAAATTTAATACTTTATTGTACAGCACATAAGTGGGTTTAATCAAAGCAATTGATATTAGATTAAATAGCAGAAATCCATGTGGATGATCATTTAACTTGGCTTTTAAAGTCAATTCTCTTCTGCCAAACAGAATATTCCTTTATAACAAAGATGGGAATCCAAACAAGCGGAATGTACATAATGAAACTGCTTTACATTTGTTGTGTATGGGACCACATATCATGCTACCTGAAGCAGCCCTGCAGCCCCGCCTTACACGACCCAATGAAGATGATGGCAAGAGAGCGGAATGTCTTCAATTGATTCTTAAGTGGAAGGGTGCAAGGATAGATCAAGGCGAGTTCGAGAAGGCTGAAAGCAATGCCACTGATAACAAAAAGTTTACACCTTTGCACTATGCTGCTGCCTCAGGGATGAAAACATGTGTAGAGGTAATTTCCATGGCATGGTTTCAATAATTCCCAGTTTGGATACTTGCATTCTATAAAGCGAGAGATTGTATTGCTTTTCCAGAAGCCTGTATGCTGATTTTTTTTTTTCTTTTTCTTTTCTTTTGTCCTCTTCAGTGAAATCAACTCTTAAATATTTACTTCAATTTGAAAATTGAACGTTATTTTTAAAATATCATGGGGAGAATTTGCAGAAAAGTCATAATGATCACACGTGTCTCTGTTTTGATACTTTTGTGCACATAATTTTTTGACTCAATAATTTAAGTTTTGCTGAAACATGTAAAACGTGAAGAAACATCATTTAAATACAAAATGGTGGGTCAGAAGGGTTGGCGAAACAAACTCAATTCTCACCATTTTTGGTGTTGCAGTCTTTATTCTTACTACTTCTAGGGGACAGCAAACCAGTGGCAGATACTTGCATGTGGGAAAAAAACAACAAATCTTGAAATCACCACAGTTTTACAGGATAATTGTCACTTTGAGTTACTTTTTCCTTGGGCAACAGAGATCTTGCGGTGATTGCCCAGGTACTCCTATTTGCTATCAAGGTTATGTGGTTGGCTGAACCCAACTTGGTTGGCAGCAATAAGAGGATCCTCTCTGTATATCTTCCAAAATCAAAGTTACTTAGAAATCGAGGCAAATTCTACAAGACATTGAAGTATAGTTGTGACACTTGCTGTGTACTGTGAAGTTCAACCACGCTGTTTAGAGTTATTTCAGTGGTTGCCTTTGTTAGTTCAGTATGGTACTAAGAAGACCAATTAAAATTGAAGTCAGTGCGGGAAGGAGTGCTTTTCACTAATCGAGGTTGTACCTTGCTCATGAACTGGTTGATAGCCACAGCCAGGACATATTGGTGCTGGAGTTTCGTGGGGATATTCTGGCTCAGCCAACCTCATCAATGACCTTCCTTCCATTAAGAAATCAGATGATGACCACTAATAATTCCACAATGTTGTTGAGTTCTTATCTGTAATTCCGAGACAATTAAGTAATCTGGGCACATGTGTACAAAGTCCTAAACAAAATTTACATTTGAGCTAATTTATGGCAAGTAACATATATGGCAGGAGTGCAAGGTGATGACCATTCATTACAAGAAGCGGTCCTCTGTTGATATACAACAACATTAGCACTGCTGGTACCACCGTCAAAATCCTGGGCTTTACTAGTGGCCAAGTTCGTTCATGGTAATGATGTAGACAATCAAATCCATGCCAGTTGTTATAAAGATGTATTGACAGTATTTTTTCTTCATCTAAATATCATCAGTAGAAAGCACTTCCTACTTAGTGACAGTCGAGAGTGCTCATGTGTAACGTCGAACTGTTGTGCTGAGATTCACTGAAAATATCACTGATTTATGACTTGCATTTGCAAAGTCTGAAGTTAATGACAATGCTGAAACTTAGACAAAAAGATTTAGCTTTGTAAATTTTCTTTGATTTCAGCTTTTAGTTAAGTACGATGCAGACCTGTTTGCAGAAAATGAAAACCGAGACACTCCTTGTGACTGTGCGGAGAAACAGCATCACAAGGATCTTGCTCTCAGTCTCGAGTCACGCATGGTATTTTCACGAGATCCAGAAGCTGAAGAAGTGGAAGCAGAGTACGCAGCGCTGGATAGAAGAGAGGTACAACAAGTTGTTTTCACAGCTGTTTGGATACTAGTAGCACTGAATAAATGAACTGGATGCAATTGCATTCTCAAGCTAAACATTCCATTCTGGTTTGTTCTCAATTATGCTGAAACAAATGGAATTTAACCACCATAAATCAACTCTTGACTGAAGATGAAAATATTTTAGGGGCTGTAGAGACCATAACTATTTTTGTTTTCTTTTTCTCATTTTTGGTTTTTAAACGGAGTTGCAGTTGAGAATTGGGCTTTAAACTTCAATCGGCAGCTTGTTTATTTTTAAAAAGAGAGAGGAGAACAAAAGACCACTTTTCTGTTTGGAACCGACTTGGCAAGATAATGCAGATTCATTGCTTGTTTAAGAACACTGCAGATGATGTGGTACCGAGATGTTATGCTCCGGGACTGGCTGCTAGTTGATTGGTAAATTGGTTAATCAAAGGAGGACTGGTCATGGGCCAGCCAATCACAGAAAAGCACAGTGAGTTGGTTCTGATTGGAGTTTTGGCCAAGAGGCAGTATTGTTTTCAAAGCTGTGGACTGGGAAACTTTTGTTTTTGGGGTTTTGTTCTCTAATTATTCTGTAGTTATCGATTTGTTGACTTTTCTAAGATATGACTGGAATTCTAAGAAGTAAGTAAAAGGTCAAGACCTGTTTGCATTGACTCGTGACTTTGGAATTTAAGGAAGATATATAGTCCTACATCTGTAACACAGCTCATAGTCACAAGATTTCACGAAGGCCTGGTATTCATCAATGATGAATTGGTAAATTACAATCCTCTTATTTTCTTCTTAATTTTTCCTTTAACTATGTCTGTCTGCATGTCTGTTGGTGCACAAGTTGGAGTTTGTATTCGAAGAAGATTAGACTTAGATACTAATTAATTGCCTTGTAATTTATATGTGCTGTGCTAAAGTAACATTCTTAATAATCAGTTAATTTTTGTTTAACTTACCAACTTGGTGTTCAAGATCTTTAATTGTAATGTCTGGTTAGGAACAATTTGAGCAATTTTGGAAGTCATTGAATGTCTTAATTGCACTGTGTTGTGAATCCAGTGATGGGAAGCCTGATTTGGTTTGGCTTGGCTTGGCTTGGCTTGGCTTGCAATCCATAAGTGAAAAGGACTTGGTTAAACAGTGGTTATTAAATAGGAGTGCAGGAGGATTTGAAAGGAGGACCTTGGAGAGCAGAAGTGTTTATGAAATGGTTTTGTTTGTACATTGAAATTGATAAATGATAGGGAAAAAGGTGTTGGAATGGACCAGAGGTCAGAAGGACCAAGTCCCTTGAGAGTATGTTAGGACCTGAAGTTGCAGAGCTTGGTAACAAGCAAGGCCATTGCAGGACTGTAGACTCTTCAGATTTAAGAGAATGGTGGGGAGACTAGAAACCAACATCAATCAGTGTAGATACTGTGTTGAAATGATGTGATATACAAAGCAAGTTCAATTTTTGGGAGTATAGTGAGACGAAGTTGAAGGCTGGGTTGAGTTTGGATAGGGCATGGGAATGACATGAGAGAAGCTACAGAATGATAAGTAGTTTGGACGAGGATAAGCGGGAGTCTAGTGGGAAGGTTGATGTGGGAACGTGAACAAAGTTGCGTGGAAGGCCACTCAACCTCTTGTATCTGCGATGTCATTCTTGATCATGGTTATATTATACCTCAATGCCATATTCCTGTGCTCTTTCATTATCCCTTGATGTCATAAGTAGTGGGAACTTTACCTTAAACATAACAATTGAGCTTCCACAGCCCCCTTGGCTAGAGAAATCCAAATATTCGCCACTGTCTTAACAAAGAACTTCTTCTTCCTCACAGTTATAAAAGCCTTCCCTTTTTTTTTGTTTAATTCATTCACAGGAAGAGCATATCACTGGTTAGGCAGCATTTATTGCCAATCCCTAATTACCCAGAGAGTTGTTAAGAGTCACCCACATTGCCTCCGGACCCACAGCACAGCTAGGCCAGACCGTGTAAAGATGGCAGTTTCCTTCCCTAAAAGATATTAGTGAACCAATGGGTTTTTCCTGAAAATCAACAATGGGTTCATGGTCATCATTAGACTTTTTAATTCCAGATATTTATTGAATTCAAATGCCACCATCTGCCGTGGCGGGATTCAAACCTTGGTCTCCAGAACATTATCTGAGTCTCTGGACTAACAATCTAGTGATAATACCACAAGGCTATTGCCGCCGCTGCCTCCCCACCCCCAGCTTCATGTTGAGATTGTCCCCTGATTCTGTAACCCCGTGCTAGGAGAAATATCCTTTCTACACTTGCTGTGTCTATCACCTGAACAATTTTGTACACTTCAATGAAATAGCCACAAACATTACATCGGACAAACAGGAAGGAAACTAGCCATCAGAGCACATTAACATCAACTAGCAGCAAAACGGCACAACGACCTCTCCTTGATATCGGTACACTCAGACAATGAAGGCTATCAGTTTAACTGGGACAAGACAACCATGGTAGCCCAAGCCAAACACAGACACGCACGGGAATTCCTAGAGGCATGGTTCTCCAACCGTAATGCAAACAACAAACATATAGAATTGGCCCACTTTATACAAGCCCATACAGATCAAAACCGGAAATGACGGTACTCCCCATAACGGACCAGACAGTATAAATTCCCAGCGGAGTAGAATAACATCGCTTCATTGGAGGTTCCACTGATGACATCACCTAGCATGGTGACAATGTCTGAACAAGAACAAGCCAGCTTGCTGAGCAAGTCAACAACCTCAAAGAAATAGATTTCCAGATGCTAAAGATGTCAAGCAGTTTGGGGAGAGTGAAGTATGATGTTGAGTGATTGTATGTAGAAGATCAACCAGAATTATTTTGAATGGCAGACCAGGCTCAAGAGGTTGAATAGCCTACATTTCCTTCTATGTTCATGTTTATATCACAGCCTGACAGCCTTGGAATGCCAATTAATCCTAACTTGTTTTCTGCCAGTTGATAAATCCTTAAGCCATGCTAAAATATTACCCCCCATAGTTTAATTTTGTTTACTAACCTGTGTGGGACTATATCAAATCTTATGAAAATCTAAACACAACATATGTTTTGTCCCCTTATCAACTGGGCTGGTATCTCACTCAAAACTCACCTTCATTCAAAGGGTGGTACGATGACTCCGTAGTTAGCGCTGCTGTCTCACAGTGCCAGGGACCCAGGTTCAAGCAACTGTCTGTATGGAGTTTGCTCATCCTGTCCGTGTCTGTGTAGGTTTCCTCCAAGTGCTCCAGTTTCCTCCCACAGTCCAGAGATAGGCAGATTAGGTGGATCGGCCACACTGAATTGCTCCGTAGTGTTCAGGGATGTGGAGGTTGGGTGGATTAGCCATGGGAAATGTGGGATTATGGGGATAGGGTAGGGGGGTGTGTCTGGATGGGATGCTCTTCAGAGGGTCCTGTGGACTTGATGGGCCAAATGGCCTGCTTCCACACTGTAGAGATTCTATGAAATTAAAATGTCTATAAGGTTTGCCAGGCAAGATTTCCCATTCATAACTCTGTTGTTCACTCTGTGCAACCAGTTATTTTCTACATATTCTATAGTCAAATCAAACAGTAATCAGAGGGCGGAGAATGAAAAGTTTTGTTGGCAGGATATGCCAAGTAGAGTTCCTCGAGGCGGGGGTGGGGGGAGGGTGCAGCGTCTGTGCTGGGGCTTCAAAGTTTTACAGTTTACATAATTGACTTACATAAGTGGAGTGGAGAGAAGCATTACGAGCTAAATTCCGAGATCACCGACAGAGGTCGGAAAGGGCATTGTGAAGAAAATGTAAAGAGTCGGTGGACAGTTACGGATAAGTTGATTTGAGTGAGCAAAAGTCTGGCATGTAGCATATAATATGGGAAAATGTGACGTTATTCACTTGGATAGGAAGAAAAAAAAGCAGTATTGTAGAAATTGAAGATGGCTGTGGAATTCCAAGATGCAGAAGAATCTAAGCTTTACTTCTGCTTTGTTGAAGAATCATCTAGACTCAATGTTAGCTTGCTTTCTGTCCATGGATGTTGCCTACCCACTGTGATCTCCAGCATTTTTTTGTTTTTAGTTGAGATTCCAGCACGTGCAGCAATTTGCTCCTGCAGAAGAATCTAAATGTTTTTTAGTATATTAGCCACAACATGTTAATATTCAGGTACAATTGGGAGCAGTCTAATTACAACTGCATTAGTCATGAACTGGAGAAATTAGAAATTGGGGGTGGCTGTTTGAGGGTAAATCCACATCTGACATGTGGGAGTCTTTTTAAAAGGTTAGTTGATCAGAGTTCAGGACCAGAAGATGAAAGATAAGGGTAGCAAGATTCGGGAGCCATGGAGGTTGAGAGATATTGAAAATTTAGTTAAAAAGATAAAGGATGCATATATAAGGTTTAGGAAGCTGAAATCAGACTAGGTCCTTTAATATAAAGGACGCAGGAAGAAACTGAAACAAGGAATTAAGAGGGAAAAAAGTGGTCATGAAATGTCCTTGGTAAGTAGAATTGAGGAGAATCCCAAGGCATTTTATACATATATTATGATCAAGAGGGTAACTCGGGAAAGGGTAGGTTTATTCAAGAATAATGGACGGAATTCATGCACGGAGCCAGAGGAAGTGGATGAGATCCTTAATGAGTATTTTGTATTAGATTTCATCGAGAGGGACATGGCTAATTGTGAGATTAGGAAGCAGTATGTTGATATTAGGATTAGGTTATTATCACATGTACTCAAGCACAGTGAAAAGTTTACAATGTCGCCCCTTACAGCACCGTCCTAGGTACAACGTACCTAGGTACAAATCTTGGGATGCAAGTCCATAGCTCCCTGAAAGTGGCAGTACAAGTGGCTAAGGTGCTGAACAAGGTATACAGCATGATTGTCTTCGTCAGTTGGGGCATTGAATATAAAAGTTGGCAAGACATGTTGCAGCTGTATAAAATTTTAGTTAGGCCACAACTGGAGTATTGTGTGCAGTTCAGGTGGCCACCCTATTGGCAGGGTATGGAGGTTTTGGAGAGGTGCAGAAGAAGTTTACCAGGATGTTGCCTGAATTGGAGTGTAAGGACGGCACAATGGCTCAGTGGTTAGCACTGTTGCCTCACAGCGCCAGGGACCTGGGTTCAATTCCAGCCTCGTGCGACTGTCTGTGTGGAGTTTGTACATTCTCCCTGTATCTGCATGGGTTTCATCTGGGTGCTCTGGTTTCCTTCCACAGTCCAAAGATGTGCAGGCTAGGTGGATTGGCCATGCTAAAATTGCCCGTAGTGTTCGGGGATGTGTAGATTAGGTGGGTTATAGGGGGATGGGTCTGGGTGGGATGCTCTGTGGGTTGGTGTGGACTTGTTGGGCCGAAGGGCCTGTTTCCACACTGTAGGGGTTCTGTGATTTCTGTGAGAGGTTGGACAAACTTAGGTTGTTTTCACTAGTGCATCGGAGGCCGGCCATGGTTGGATAGAGGGTGTGACCTGATAGAAGTATATAAAATTTATGAGGAGCATGGACAGGGTAGATAGTTGGAGTTTTTTTTTCCCAGGGTGGAAATGTCAATACTAGGGTGCATAGGTTTAAGAAGAGAGAGGAAAAGATTAAAGGAGATGTGCAAGGAAAGTTGTTTTTTTACCCAGAGGGTGGGATGTGTCTGGAATATTCTACCAGGAGAGGTGGTAGAAGCAGATACAAAGGCAACGTTTAAAAGGTATTTAGACAGATTCATGAACAGGCAGGGAATAAAAGGTTACAGACCATGTGCAAGCAGATGGGATTTGTTTAGAATAGCATCATGGTCAGCACCAACGTGGGCCTGTTCCATACAGTATTGTTCTATTAAGGTCAGAAGTGCAGATGTTCACTGCACAATATTCAGCACCATTCGTGACTCCTCAGATACCAAAGTAGTCCGAGTTCAAATGCATCAAGATCTGAACAATATCTAGATTTCTCGTAAGTAATAAGCCATGCGAGTGCGAGGCAATGATCATCTCCAACAAGAGAGAATCTAGCCCTCACCCATTGATTTTCAATGATGTAACTATACTGAATTTGCCCCTCTATCAAAATCCTGGGGATTGCTATTGACAAGAAACATGTACAAGGTGTTGTGCTGATACTTACCAAAGCTTATCAGCAATCTTCCAAGCCCACAACCTCTACCATCTAGAAGATCACAGACAGCAGATATTTGGCAGTACCACCACCTGCAAATATCTTTCCAAGCCACTCAACATCCTCGCCATTCCTTCATTGTTGAGTCAAAGTCCTTGCACTTCCTCCCTAACAGAATTGTGGGTGTGCCTGCACCAAATGGACTGCAACAGTTCCAGAATGCAGCTCACCACGACTTGAGGGCAATTAAGGATTGGCAATAAATACTGCCAAGTCAGAAAACCCCATATCCCTTGAATGAACTTTTTTTAATATGAGAATGTTGTTAAACTTTGGAGCTTTGTGCCTTAGAAGATAAAAGAGGCAGTTTAGCAGGGTCATTGAATATTTTCAAGGCAGAAGCAGATTTTTTTTAGGCAACAGAATCCAAGGTTATCAAGTTGAAGGGAATTTGGAATTCTAAATACAAACAGATCAACCATGATATTACTGAATCAGATAAACTTGAGGAGCCAAATGACCTACTGTTCCAATATTATTTGTTCGTCAGTGGTGACCACTGAACTGAAAGTCTCAATTTCATTTACATTTAATTCCATAAATCCACATTTCAAGCATTGCCACCCTTGCAGTCATGCTATTTCTTCTGATCTCTCAGGCAACTGGCTTTTCCTTCCATTTTTACGCCCTTCTGTGTTCAGCAATCCCTTCATTGTCTCCAGGCTCAACTTCTCTAATACTCTCCTTGCCAACATTTGGATGATTCACTTTACGAAAAGAGAAAGCTCTCAACATATTGAGAACTCTGCCAGCCAAAGCCTATCAAAAATACTCTCTACCCTTCAACATCAGTTTTGTTTTTACTGACCTGTTCCAGGTCACCATTCCCATTTCAATCATGGAAATTTCATGTAACTAAGTTAAGTCTAGGAAGTGAAGAAGCTGGTAACCAATTTCTCCTAAAATAGATATGATTATTGTTAAATTTGAAACTGTTACCTTGTTTTAGCATTTTGACTTGTTAACTCCTATATCCTGATCAGTTGTTCATCGTAGTTTCAGCATGTAAGATAAAATGAGAATCTTTTTGCAATTGATTTCCATGTTTATAATAAACTTTATAACAATAGACAATATGTACAGGATATCATTGGAGGAGCTGAATGTTCAATTTACCACTATTTATCCAATTAATTTTTCTTTCTCCACCCCCCACCCCCCGAATCTGAAGCCATATGAGGGCCTAAGGCCACAGGACCTAAGGAGGCTGAAAGATATGCTGATAGTGGAAACTGCAGACATGCTTCAAGCCCCACTTTTTACTGCAGAGGCGCTGCTCCGAGCTCACGGTAACTTTATTAATTGTTGAGGTCATTGATTTAAATATTCTGTAACAATTTTGCTGTTCCTTTTACAATTCAGTGTCCAAATTCAAATTTTGTATTTCTTGAATAATTGTTTGTTGGTTACTAGATGCTAATTGAAATGTAGGTACATTCTTTTAAGTGTTTGGTCTCAAAATGCCGTCAAGAATGCTTTCAACCATGTCACCTTAACTTCAGGGAACAATAGATGCAATCCTAAGATTTAGAAGAATTCTCGAAGATGCATAAGACAGACGAACATGTTAGAAAGTCTGAATTTTGGTGGAATCCCTCATCAGGCATAGTTTAGATCGGAGTATATTTTTCTGAGTGACAACACTTTGTTTTCCTCGTTCACATGGTGAGTGAACGAATGTACATTCCCTAAACTTATACTAGTGGTTGACGTGGAATGCGGAGAGGGTATTGCGAGTGATTGAAAAGTGACCAGTGGGTTGCGATTTGGGGCGGTTCTTGCGAAATGTATCAATAGAGGAGACAAAGGGAAGATGTGATAGGTAATGGCTTCACACTGCAAGTAGCAGAAATAGTGAAGAATTGTTTGTCGAACATGAAGGCTGGTGGGTTGGAAAGTGGGGAGCATATGAATCCTACTCTGGTTTTGGGAATGGGGAAAGGGTGGGAGCGAAAATGTGGGAAATAGGATGGGAATTATTAAGGGCTTAATGGAATATTATGCTTTCAGGAAGTGGAGTAGAAGGAGATGTAATCAAAATAATTTTGGGAATCGGTGGGTAAACCATGCATGTTGATCAATAGCCTATCCTCAGAAACTGAAATATAAATGGGAAAATTTGAATATGAACCATGTGAAAATCAAGATTGCTACAAGTTGGAAGCAAAATTGAAATTCTCTTGGTCAAAGATAAATCAAGAAGTGGTGCTGATGTGCAGTTATCAAAAGACAGGGAAAACGGGGTAATGGAGGGAATCAGAGTTGGAATGAAACTAAGAATGTTTCATGTAACCCCAGAGAAAGAAGACATATCTAGAGCTGATACAGATTCCCAAAGCAGAATTTACTTCAGCATGAATCTGAGGAGGAGTTTCGTGTGAGAAGTTCAGCCAAGTTGTATGACATTGGCCCAGGCCCCAACATTGCTCGTGACCAAAGGGGATGCAATGTAGAGGCTGTCGGATGTCTGTTGTGACAGAAACAGTTCAGTTGAGGAATTCTTTTAAGTTGTGGAAGACAATGAGAGAGTTGCAGGTGTTGGCAGAAATAAACTGGACAAGGGAGAAAAAATAAATTTGAGATGACAGGAAATGTAGCAAGAATTGGCTGAAACTGGAAACTTGATTGGAAACATGACTCCTGTTCCTCTGTCCACAAATGTTGCCTGAACTGCTGAGTATTTCCAGCATTTTCTGTTTTTATTTCAGGTTTTAAGCATTCTGTGTCTAATAATAAAGTTTTATTTCTAGCCTGTAATGCTTTTAAACTGTTAACTTTTGATCCTTTCTGGACATGTTTTTCTTTATCTTTTCCTCTGCTTTTTCAGCATCTTCCATTCCACAAGATCAGAGTTTGCTACACTTTTTCTTGGTTGCAATGTTTCTTTCTCCGCTATCGTGGCACAAAATCCCTTCTTCTTTCTTCTCCCTTGTTCTTTCTCCTTCCCATGAATCATCCCTATGTTCTGGTGAGCACATTTTGTGGTAGCTCAGTGGGAAGAATTGATTAATGCCTTTTTTCCTCCAGTGCACTGCATTTGTAAACCTGTCATAAAAATACGGTCAAATAAGAACCATAATCAAACCACAGTATTTTAAGGCCACTTCTAACAGCGCAAACTTTGTGTTTCCTCTTTTCAATGTGTATTTTCATAGACTGGGATCGAGAAAAACTACTTGAAGCCTGGATGTTAAACCCTGAAGACTGTTGCCAACGTTCAGGCATTCAGATGCCAATTCCACCACCTAGTGGATGTAATGCATGGGACACTCTCCCCTCACCTCGAACCCCTCGCACCACCCGTTCCTCTGTCACATCTCCAGATGATGTCAGTTTATCTCCAACTGATGAGGACACACTTGTGGTATGTTAGTGATTTTACTTAGAAAATATTTGACTATGAATCCTCTGCACACAGAATGTAAAAGTAGCCTTAACTTGAAGATTTGTACAAGGATACGAACATGATGGTTATATATAGTTGAATTTTTTATTTACCAAAACTTTGTTTGATTGAACGGAATTTTAGAGTTGCACTGAAGTGATATAACTTCGAATCTGTATGCCATATGAATAATTGCTATTTGTCATAGTTTTCTGACCATCTTTGCTAGCATCGTTGGCTTTTAGGGTGATATTTTTCACCTCCACTTTCCTGCCTTTTACCCATTATCCTTAATTCTCTTAGTTATTGAAAATCTGCCTACCTCACTGTTGAATATATATGACAATCTAGTCTTGACAACACTCTGCAGTAAGGAATTCCACAGATTCCCCACTCTGAGAGAAGAAATTCTTGCTCATCTCTGTCTTATCTGGGTTACCCCTTTGTTCTGAGATTAAGCCCTCTGGTCCTAGACTGCCCTACAAGGGGAAACAACCTCTCTGCTTCTACCCTGTCAAGTCCTCTACGAATCTTTTACTGAAACATAAAAGTCACCTCTCATTCTTCTAAACCCCAGTAAATATAAGCCTTAACCAGTTAACTTCTCAGAAAACCATCCCTCCATCCCTGGGAGCAGCCCAGTGAACCTTCTTTCGACTACCTGTAATGCAGTATATGTTTCCTTCAATAAAGGCTACAGTATTCCTGCTGTGATCTTGTATAGTTGTATAGACTTGTATTAGCAAAACCTCTGCAGACTCTTGTCATCCTCACCAGAAAGGAATAATTAATGATGTAATGAGACAGGAATAATTAATGACCTCATAGTTAGGGATCCTCTTGGAAGGAGTGATCACAGTATGGTTGAATTTAGAATACAGATGGAGAGTGTGAAGATAAAATCCAATACCAGGGTCCTGTGCTTGAACAAGGGGAACTACAATAGAATGAGGGAGGACTTGGCTAAAGTAAACTGGAAACAAAGATTGTTGACGAGCAGTGGAGGACTTCCAAAGCAATCTTTCAAAGTGCTCAGCAAAAGTATATTCCAATGAAAAGGAAGGACTGGAAGAAAAGGGGTAATCTGCCATGGGTGTCTAAAGAAATAAGGGAGGCTATCAAATTGAAAGAGAAGGCATACAAAGTGGCCAAAAGCAGCATGAAACTAGAAGATTGGGAAAACTTTAAAGGTCACCAGAAAGCCACAAAAAGAGCTATAAAGAAAAGTAAGATAGAACATGAGAAAAAACTAGCACAGAATATAAAGACAGATAGCAAAAGTTTCTATAAATATATAAAACAAAAAAGAGTGGCTAAAGTAAACGTTGGCCCTTCAGAGCATGAGAAGGGGAATTTAGTTATGGGATATGATGAAATGGCCGAGGCATTGAACAGGTATGTTGTATTGGTCTTCACAGTGGAGGACACTAATAACATGCCAGTAATTGACAAAGAGACGAAGGTAGGTGAGGACCTGGAAACAATCATTATTACGGAAGAGGTAGTGTTGGGAGCTAAGGATTGATAAATCTCCTGGCCCTGATGGAATGCATCCCAGGGTACTAAAAGAGATGGCGGGAGAAATAGCAGGTGCGCTGGCGGTAATTTTCCAAAATTCGCTGGACTCTGGGGCAGTCCCAGCAGATTGGAAAACAGCAAATGTGACGCCACTGTTTAAAAAGGGAAGTAGACAAAAGATGGGGAATTATAGACCAGTCAGCTTAACCTCTGTAGTGGGGAAGATGCTCGAGTCTATTATCAAGGAAGAAATAGCAAGGCATCTTGATAGAAATTGTCCCACTGGGCAGACGCAGCATGAGTTCATGAAGGGCAGGTCATGCTTGACAAATCTTTTGGAATTCTATGAAGACATTACGAGCGAGGTGGACAATGGGGACCCAGTGGATGTGGTGTACCTAGACTTCCAAAAGGCCTTTGACAAGGTGCCACACAAGAGGCTACTGCAAAAGATAAGGATGCATGGCATTAAGGGTAAAGCATTAGCATGGATAGAGGATTGATTGACTAACAGGAAGCAAAGAGTGGGGATAAAGGAGTGCTATTCTAGCTGGCAGTCAGTGACTAGTGGTGTGCCTCAGGGATCGGTGTTGGGACCGCAATTATTTACAATTTATATAGATGATTTGGAGTTGGGGACCACGTTTGGGGGGTCAAAGTTTGCAGATGACACTAAGGTGAGTGGCAGAGCAAAGCGTGCAGAGGACTGTGAAACTTTGCAGAGGAACATAGATACACTGAGTGAGTGGGCAAAAGGTCTGGCAGATGGAATACAATGTAAATAAATGTGAAGTCATACATTTTGGTAGGAGTAATAGTAAAAAAGATTATTACTTGAATGGTAAAAAATTGCAGCATGCTGCTATGCAGAGGGACCTGGGTGTCCTTGTGCATGAATCACAGAAGGTAGGTCTGCAGGTACAACAAGTAATTAGGAAAGCAAATGGAATTTTGTCCTTCATTGCTAAAGGGATTGAAATTAAAAGCAGAGAGAGGTTATGTTGCAGCTGTACAAGGTGCTGGTGAGGCCACACCTGGAGTACTGTGTGCAGTTTTGGTCTCCTTACTTGAGAAAGGATGTACTGGTACTGGAGGAGGTTCACTAGGTTGATTCCGGAATTGACGGGGTTGGCTTATGAGGAGAGACTGAGTAGATTGGGATTATATTCATTGGAATTCAGAAGATTGAGGGGGGATCTTATAGAAACATATAAAATTATGAAGGGAATAGATAAGATAAAAGTAGAGAGGATGTTTCCACTGGCAGGTGAAGCTAGGACAAGAGGGCATAGCCTCAAGATTAGAGGGAGCAGATTTAGGACTGAACTGAGAAGGAATTTCTTCACCCAGAGGGTTGTTAATCTATGGAATTCCTTGCCCAGTGAAGTAGTTGACGCTACTTCAGTAAACGTTTTCAAAAAAAAGGTAGATTTTTTTTGAACAATAAAGGAATTAAGGGATACGGTGAGAACACGGGTAAGTGGATCTGAGTCCACGAAAGGATCAGCTATGATCTTATTGAATGACGGAGCAGGCTCGAAGGGCCAGACGGCCTACTCCTGTTCTTATGTTTTTATTTGCCTTCCCACCTTTTTTGTTCTTGCCTAGTGGAATGTTCGATGTCCCAGGTAGTACCTTCAGAAAGCGCTGGGAATTCTGCACCTCCCATCTATGTTGGAACAATAGTGAGGCTGGAAATACAAAGATAGGCCACATGAATGCGTGACTGAGGAGCTGGTGTAGGGGGCTGGGTTTTCAGTTCCTGGATTATTGGGATCTCTTCTGGGGTAGAGGTGACCTGTACAACAGGGACAAGTTACACTTGAACTGGACGGGATCCAAAATCCTTGCAGGGAGATTTGCTAGTGTTACCCAGGAGAGTTTAAACTAGTTTGGTAGGGGTGTGAGACTCTGAATAAGAGAGGAACCATTGAGAGGTCGGGGAAAAAACATTGGCCATCAAAAACCAGTTTACTATTCAGGATAGCCAGGGGCACAGTAAAGGGAGGGAAAAGATTTCTGGTTTAAAGTGCATTTATGTCAAGTATGAGGCCTGACTGGTAAGGCAGATGAGCTCAGAGCATGGATTGGCTCTGGGGACTGGGATATTATGGCCATAACAGAAACGTGGCTGAGAGAAGGACAGGACTGGCAGCTCAGTGTTCCAGGATACAGAAGCTACACGTATGACAGAAATATAAGTAAGTGAGAAGGGGCAGTTTCCCTTTTGATAAGGCAGGACATAACAACAGCGCTTGGAGGATATTCTCAAGGGGTCATCAAATGAGGCCATATGGTTAGAACTTAGAAACAAGAAGGGGATGGTCACTCTGTTGCGACTATATTATAGGCCCCCAAATAGCCAGTAGGTACTAGAGGAGCAGGTGTGTAGAGAGATTGCAGATACCTGTAGGAGTAATAGAATACTATTGGTTGGAGATTTTAATTTCCCCTGTATTGACTGGGTCATCCAGAATGTAAAAGGCCTGGACTGGGTGGAATTTGACAATGTGTCCAAGAAAGTTTCCTAAATCGATATGCGGAGGGCCCTACTCGGGAGGGTGCAACACTGGACCTCCTCTTAGGAAATGAGGTCGGACTAGTGACTGAAGTGTCAGTCGGAGAGCATTTTGGGTCCAGTGACCATAACTGTCTTAGTTTTAGTGTAGTTATAAAAAAAAAAGAACAGGTCCACAGGTTAAGGTGCTGACCTGGAGCAGGGCTGATTTTGGGGCCATTAGGCAGGATCTAACAAAGTTCGATTGGGAAGTCTGTTTGAAGGAAAAGGAGTGACTGGCAAATGGGAGGCTTTTGAAAGTGTGATCTCCAGAGTCCAGGGGCAGTATGTCCCTGTAAGGGTGAAGGGGAAAAGCTGGCAGGTTTAGGGATCCCTGGTTGATGAGAGATATTGAAGCACTGGTCTCGAAAAAGAAGGAGGCATACATTGGGTTTAAGCTATTGGGCTCAAGTGAATCCTTAGACGATAATAAAAAGTGTAGGAGCACACTTGAAAGGGAAATCAGAAGAGCAAAAAGAGGGTATGAGTTGGATCTAGATAAGGTTAAAGAGAATCCCAAAAGGTTCTAAAGTTATATTAAGAGTAAGAGGGTGGCTAGGGAGAGAATCGGTCCCTTAAAGATAAGCATGGCCATCTATGTGTGGAGCCACAGGAGATGGGGGCGATTTTTAATGAATGTTTGTTTCTCCTCAGTGTTTACTGAGGAGAGAATCATGAACGCTAAGGAAGTCAGGGAAACAAGTGGGGATGGTTTGAACCACAGACATATTAGCAGAGAGGAGGTGTTTGCAGCCTTAAAGCACATTAAGCTGGATAAATCCCCTGGGCCTGATCAAGTCCATCCTCAGATGTTGTGGGAGGCTACCGAAGAAATTGCAGAGGCCCTTGCAGAGATTTTTGCTTTGACTTCAGCCACCGGTGAAGTTCCGGAAAACTGGAGGGTGACTAATGTTCCATTGTCTAAGAAATGTAGCAAAGACAAGCCAGGGAACTACAGGCTGATGAGCCTGACCTCAGTGGTAGGCTGGTTATTGGAGAGGATACTGAGCATCAGGATCAACCAACATTTGGATAGTTAAGGTCTGATTAGGGATAGTCAGCATGGATTTATGTGCGGGAAGTTTTTTTTTTAAATTCATTTGTGGGATGTGGGCATTGCTGGCTGGCCAACATTTCTTGCCCATCTTTAGCTGCCCTTGAGAAGGTGGTGGTGAGCTGCCTTTTTGAACTGCTGCAGTCCTCCTGCTGTGGGTTGACCCACAATGCGATTAGGGAGGGAATTCCAGGTTTTTGACCTAGTGACAGTGAAGGAACGGCAATATATTTCCAAGTCAGGATGGTAAGTGACTTGGAGGGGAACTCGGAGGTGATGGTGTTCCCATATATCTGCTGCCCTTGTCCTTCTAGATGGAAGTGGTCGTGGGTTTGGAAGGTGCTGTCTGAGGATCTTTGGTGAATTTCTGCAGTACATCTTGTAGATAGTACACACTGCTGCTACTGAGCATCGGTGGTGGAGGGAGTGGATTCTTGTGGATGTAATGCCAATCAAGCGGGCTGCTTTGTCCTGGATGGCGTGAAGCTTCTTGAGTGTCGTTGGGACTGCACTCATTGAGGCAAGTGGGGAATATTCTATCACGCTCCTGACTTGTGCCTTGTAGATGGTGGACAGACTTTGAGGAGTCAGCAGGTGAGTTAACTTGCCGCAGTATTCCCAGCTTCTGGCCTGACAAATCATTTAGAGCTTTTTGAAGAGGTAACCAAGAGGATGGATGAGAGTAGCGGAGTGGATGTTGTCTATATGGACTTTAGTAAGGCCTTTGACAGGATCCTGCACGGCATGCTAGTCATGAAGGTTAGGTCATACGGGATCCAGGGAGAGCTAGCTAATTGGATTCAAAATTGGCTGAATGGTAGGAAGCAGAAGGTGATGGGTGAAGGTTGTTACTCAGACTGGAGGCATGTGACTAGTGGTGTGCCACAGGGATCGGTGCTGGGACCTTTGTTTGTTATTTACATAAATGTCCTGGATGTGAATGTACAAGGCACGATTAATAAGTTTGCGGATGGTGCAAAATTAGGACATATTGTTGATAGTGAGGAAGCTCGTGAAAAATTAGAGGGATCAGATGGGGAAGTAGGCTGAGGATTGGCAAATGCAGTTCAATACAGATAAGTGTGAGATGTTGCACTTTGGAAAGTCCGACCAAGGTATGACTTGTACTTTAAATGGTAAGGTCCTGAGGAGTGTTGTGGAACCGAGAGACCTAGGAGTACAAGTACATGGTTCATTGAAAGCGGCATCACAGGTGGACAGGGTAGTGAAGAGCGCATTTGGCATGCTTGCCTTCCATCAGTCGAAGCATTGAGTGTAGGCGTTGGGACATTATATTGCAGTTATGTAAGTCATTGGTGAGGCCGGACTAGGAGTATTGTGTAGAGTTTTGATCACCCTGTTATAGGAAAGACATAGTTAAACTGGAAAGTGTGCAAAGAAGATTTATGAGGATGTTGCCAGGACTAGTTGGCCCGAGCTATAGGGAGAGGTTGGCCAGGATAAAACTTTATTCCTTGGAACATAGGAGAAGGAGGGATGACCTTTATTGAGGTATATAAAATAGTGAGGGGCATAGATAGGATGAAGGCA